GATAGAAATACATAGAGAATCAACAATCTTTTATTAATTATTCATTATTCCAATATATACATTAAGTACAAAGTTTCAGTTTAACTATAACTCTATAAGACTACAAAGGATGGAGATGTATTATCATAGTATAATACCTTTAAAAATGTCCACTTATATTTATTTACAACACTCCCCCTTGGACATTACAATATCATACTCATGCCTCGTTAAAAAACCTCACCAAAAAAACTCAGTGAAAAAAGTCTAGATGATATGTATGCATTCATGTGTTGCAGTAGTTGTCTCGTTAAAAATATTTAATTAATAAAATAACATCAAAACTCAATCAAAGGAAAAAGAATACAGATGTTGGTCATCAGGACCCAATCTCAAGGATTGATTCAAGTAAATGCTACTCCTCCTGAAATATTAACAATCTTCAAATCCTACACATAAAGACATCTTTCCAAAACTAAGTGTAGCAAGGAACCAAAAAAAAAAAAAAGAAAAAAAAATCATCTTCAAAAACCCATTATCTCATTAGTGAAAAACCAAAGTATCAATTTTTTAATATGCAAAAAAACCTTCTAAAATCTACAAATGTGGATGCTCTAATAAGCATTATTTATACTACTGTGAGTGAAGTATATATGATAGGGAATCATTCATCAATAGTTATGTCATGGACCCGAGTCCACCTTGCAAGGTGGACTCAAGTCCAAAACGACGCAGTTTGCACGTGTGGAAATAACGGTGCTGTTAGTAGCACCATTTCTGAAGTCAATGATTTAAAAATATATATATCGAAAACAACTCAGAGAGTAAATATTCAGTTCTATAATTGTAAATATAGAGTTCTTTAATTGTGAATATAAAGTTATAAAATTATGAATATAGAGTTTTATAATTATGAATATAAATTTCAAAAATTGTAAATATAACTCAAATCCACCTTGTAAGGTGGACCTGGATCCGCAATCGTCGATTCGTTGTTATAGTTTTGGGCCGACTCATTTCGGGCCTAATAGGAAGTGGTACGTTTAGACCAATCCACGGAAAGTTGTTAGTTGAATTCGGTTATATGACTTATATCTAAAGTCTAAACCGTGGGTCCACTGGAGGATAGGAAGTCCGTAAATTGGTAGCACATACGATCCGTACCAGCCTACAATGGGACCCACTTCCGGCATATGTCATGTCATGGCGCACAAAAAGTCGACGTCCCCACATGATTTGCATTGATTGAGTGTATAGGTGTATTTGAATGCTTATCATCAAGAATGAAAACCACCCCAGCTTATAACAAGTTCACAACTAGCCAGGCCTTATCTAGTGCTGTGATCAAACTCGTTTTATATGTAACTAATAGGGTTAATTTTATTTTTTTAAAAAAATTTATAGATGACACTCCATTTGTAGTTCTTTTTTTCAGAATATCAATTGTTGTCCTCATTCAATAAAATCATTGAAATGTCGTTAACTATAATGATACTTTGATCTTTTTATACAGAATTGGTTGACCCGCTATTTTTATTGAAAACAGTTCATAATTTGAATTTACACGGTTTTATTGATAGAGGACCAAAAATGGTCATTCCACAATAATACTAACCCACATTTTGTAAAATTTGTGGCTAAAACAGCTGAATTACAATGTAATATTTGTTCATATACTTTCTCAACCTATTAAAACACAAAGAACCAATAACATCTCCACCGAAACTCGAACTTACAACCTTCCCCATGAAAGTCCAACCCAGGTACCATTAGACCACATAATCCTGGTATTTGATCAAATAATTAAAATTAAGTATTTGGTAAGCATTTGTTTATTTACTTTCTTGAAATTTACGTTAAACATAAATAAAGCAACCAAAATAGATGGAGTATATTTAATTGTAGGTTTGGCAGCTTCAGTTAAGTGTCCGTTTTGTACGATTACTTGTACAAGTTCACATGGGGTCCATCGGTCATGTTCTTGCACAAACTCTATGTCTGCGACAAATTAGAAGCAATTATCAAAATACAGAATGCAAGTTTTCTGACCTGGATCTATTATTTAATTCCAATAAATAATATGTTATGAATAAAATACACCCCAAGAAATCAATAATTAATCCCAATACTTATTTAGTATTTCGAATCATGGTGTCTGGGGGAGGAATGATCTTTTCGTGTTTAATTATTCATTCATATGATCGTATCCAAGTATTTAACTACTTCTATTGCATGTTTGATTTACGGAATATATTTTGGAGAATAAATATTCTAATTCAGAAATTAAATTGATAAGAAATAAAATATGATTTTTATTTTATTGTTTGGTTTCCAGAAGAAATTTACTTCAAGATTTGTATTTTATTTGAGTGTTGTGGTTTAGGATGAGACTAATTATATTGCTAGGAATTCCATATATGGAAGAAAAATCATCAATCGATTGAGTTTAAAGGTGGGCAGAAGCATTATACAAAAAAATTCATTGTTGAGAAGCCAATATCAAATGGATAATGAGAGTCTTTGGTAAATAGTTGTTAGCTGATTATGTTAGTGGGTTTGACTAGTTGATAGTTTTAACTTATTTTAGAAATATGTTTGGTAAATTAGCTGTTAGCTGAAAGTTAATTACATGCAAAATGACTTTCTCAAAAAAACTGATCGAAAAATATATTTTGAGCAGCTTTTTAAATTTTAGTATTTTGAAGCAATAATTTTTAGAAAAAACTAATTAATCAAATACTTATATTGGTTGTTTAACCAAGTCAAACAACTAATAGTTGTTAAATTGGCCAATATTGACTAATAAACTAATTATGTTACCAAACAGTGCCAATATTTAGAATCTAAAGATAGAAATATAAACGTGAAGAATAATCAACAAAAGTTGAAGGTAATGAATTGAAACTCATATTTGCTGCCTCAATAAATCTTATTTGAAATGGCTAAGCACCTTGTGCTCAATAACACCTCTGTAGCTCTCTTTGGAGGAAGGTTATAGGATTGAACTATGGTGGTGGGATATTGACTCTTTGAATTGTGACAGATAGAAAAAAAAATATAACAGATATTACCTTATAATAGATTCAATAATACTAAAAAAAAAAAACTTATCTGAAATGTTTTCACAACTGAATGGTAATTAAATTATTAGCCTCACCATTAGTAATCATTTTTCAAGTTCATTAGTAAGTTGGTACCTTAGCTTTATGCTCCTGTCACTCTTAGACGTATATATGTTCAAAAATGCGTCGAACATAAATGATAAAAATGTGCACTATAAAATAGTTAAAGCTGCACTATCGAATTGCTAAAAGTGTATTTTCGAAACACTAAAAATAAGCTATGAGAAAGACAAAAGTGTTTGAAATTTTTAGTAAGAATTGCATTTAAGTGGTTGTTTTGTGGTACAAATATATGTGGGCTCGATGTGAATTTAGATTTATTTTTTAAATGAAACAAAGAAATTGATATATCGTATGCTCAAAATGGATAATGGGTAAATGATAAATTAATTATCAAAATAGACGCATTTGAGATTGAAAAATGGAGAATTCGTATGATGTTTGTTAAGCACCTTCCGGTGCTTGTGCTGCAAATAAGAACCTCTCTGGAGCTTTATAATTAAGCACCTTACGGTGTTGTAACTTGTAATTAAGCACCGTTGTAATGGTAATCGCTCTGTTAAATTTCATATTAAATATGTTTATTTTGAAAGTTAGAATCTGATTTTAAATCATATGTTAGTGTCATTGTTTATTGCTATTTATTTCATCTCCTACATAAACCTTGTGTTGGACAGATTTTTTGGTGCTATGTTTTGAAACAACTTTCAAAAGATCTTGATTTTTCCCCCTCACTCACTCTCGAAAGTCATTTTTTTCTTCAATATTGTTGCCAACACTTCTAATTTCTAAATGAATAAAGAGCCCACATGTTGTTCTAGTTTATTTTTGACTGCTAAAAATAGTATTATAATCCATTTTATCCCGAGAAACTGACGCTACAATGTTCAATTTGTACCACTATCGGCATGTAGCGAATCAGTTTTAAGGAAAATATGTGTTACACATAACTTGAATTTTCCATGTTTTTGTATGGTTGACCTTTGGGATATTTTCTAAAATATTGAATCCTGTTAATTTATTTATATATAAATTGATTTATTCTTTCCTACAAAAGGTACACAAAAAGAAACTTAAAAGTGCACAAGAACAAATGGTTAAAGATGCATTTTTTAAACAGTAAAAATACACTATGACCCTTATTTTCTAATCACTAAAACTGTATTATGTAGACTATTTTATGCGACATTGACAAGGATCAAATTATAACCTTTAAGTTGAAGAACCATATATACCTTACTCACATAACCACCAAATTGGCTAAATTAACTCTTTAATCACACCCACAAAAAAGATGTTTTTTTTTTTTTCTTTTGCAGAAACTAAAGGCATTAAGAACATTCTTAATAGCATTAGTTTTTGCACAAAATTTCATTTTAGAATCCAAGTAAGAAAGAGAATATGAAAGGGATAAGAAAAAAAACTCTAGATTAACATTATTATTGCGCCTCTCGCGACTGATTGAGTATCTTTTTCATATTTAGTAGTCACTTCAAAGATTAAAAACCAAGTTTTACAGAAAGCTCTCAATCCTTCTCTCTTCTTATTTTATCTCTTTCACTTCAACCAAAATCTCTATTGTGGATGCCTAATGAGGTGGAAATAGTCCAATAAAAAGGGAATTGATAGAGAATCCATGGCCAAAAGATGGGGCCATACGCCCATCTCGTAATCCCGTATGTGGGCGTACGTACGTCCTATTGCTTTCTTTTTTTGTTTATATTCTCTCCCCTTTGTACCAATTTGCCACGATATCCTTACCCCACCATAAATTCTCCCAGCCTTGGAAATTCTTACATGCCAATTCTCATCAGGGGAAGGTCTTTTCTGAATTATTTTTTTTTTTAAAAAAAAAAAAAAGAAAAAGAGAAAAAAATTTAAGACCTCCTATAGCGCGCATGTATATGTACCCACTACACTCTGACACTTTTCTCTCCGCTAAACCATTTTCATTTTTAGACTCTTTCTTGAATTATTCATCATCCCTTAGCTTGGCTTCTGAATTCTTATTCTCTTGACTTCATAATTCCTACTTCTGGAACTGAGATTCGGTGCAGTATTGGAGGCGCGATGGATTGGGATTGGGAGTGGTTGAAGGAGTTCTTGAAGGGTATGTTGAAGCCGGTGGCGGCGCTGGCGGTGGTCGCCATGGCGGTGGCCTTGTCCTACTTTCAGAGATTGGGGCTGGAACGAGAAATGGCGTTTTCTATTTTCAGAGCTTTTCTTCAGCTCTCAATCATTGGCTTTGTTCTTCAGTTCATTTTCAGCCAGGACAACGTTCTTTGGATACTTCTTGCTTATCTTTTCATGGTACACTTTCCACTTCCATCTTCAAGAAAAAAAAAAAACTTCTTTTAAAGATAAATTTGCTTCCTTTCTCCTTTTAAGAAGGAATGTGCAATCCAACTATCAGCTTTAAGCTTTTAATTGAGATGGAGCATATGCTTCAATTTGGTATCAGAGCCATACCAAAGGTCATGGAGTTTGAATCTCAACGACTACGGCAACACGTGAGGGTTGCTCATAGCTGAGTCGAACTTGTAATCATGTGACCGATTTTAATTTCTCCCTCCTCTTTGATCAATGGTTACAGTCATTTGTGATTCTATACTTGTTTGCTTGTCAGTTTCAGCATTCTTGGTGGACTATAAGCTCTCTTATTAGCCTTATTATGCTCTTGATAATCATGTTATTTTTTGTCAGAACACCAGATTCTTCCTCTGCTTTATGTTTATGTTTTTCTTCTTTTCCTGCATAACCTCCGACGTTGACTTTACTAAATATATGTTTTTTTTTTTTATGTTCTTGAAAATCATGTTTATGTTTTTCAAAACTTGCTGGTACTTCCGTACTAAATCTTCTCTTTCTCGAGCAGTTACGGATGACTTGTCACTAGAAGTTATTGAGAAATATAACATAGTTTAAATCATGACCAATTAAAGCCATTGAGAAATAAATGGTAGTTTAAGAAGTATTGACTAAGTTATTAAGACAAATGATAGTTTATTATGTCACCCCGTTTACTTGGATTAATTTATGAACGTCAGAGCTAAATTGTTTAGGCTCTATGATTAAGAACCAACAAGGCTTTGAATACTTGGGGGGCATAGTGTTATATTGTTTAATTTGTTGTTGTTTTGCAGGTATCAGTGGCGGGATATACAGCAGGTCAACGAGCGAAGCATGTGCCGCGAGGGAAGTATGTTGCTGGGGTGTCCATCTTGGCTGGAACCGCGATGACAATGTTTTTGTTGGTGATCTTGAACGTCTTCCCTTTCACTCCCCGGTACATAATCCCGGTTGCGGGGATGATGGTTGGGAATGCCATGACTGTCACGGGTGTTACAATGAAAAAGCTTCGCGATGACATCAAAATCCAAATGGCCTTGGTATTTAAACCTGCACTCGTTTTGGCTCTGTTTGGCATATCTAGCTTATAAGCTAGCTTAAAGCTGAAAGTTTTTTAGTACCAAACAGAGCTTATAGCTTATTTGTAGCTTAAAATAAACTATAAGTTCTGCCAAACGTAACAAATTTGTATCTTTAGGTTTCAATTTTGTGTGATTTCTGGTTCTGAAATATCCTTTTATGTTGCTAGGTAGAAACTGCGTTAGCTTTAGGCGCTACGCCTAGGCAGGCGACGGTTCAGCAAGTGAAGAGGGCGCTAGTTTTAGCACTTTCTCCTGTCCTGGACAATGCGAAGACAGTTGGGCTTATATCCCTCCCGGGCGCAATGACAGGGCTTATAATGGGAGGGGCTTCTCCATTGGAGGCCATTCAACTTCAGATTGTTGTCATGAATATGCTTATCGGGGCTTCAACCGTCAGCAGCATTCTCTCGACTTACCTCTCTTGGCCGTCGTTCTTCACCAAAGCATATCAGCTCGAAACAAAGGTTTTTTCTTCTGATTAACCATTCATACCTGCATAATTTGGCGAATATTGTTCTATGACATCTTGGTGGCATTGTGAGTTGTATGATTAGCAATCAAAGAACAAAGATGGGTTTGGTTTGTGTTTGACAATGTGTGTATATATATATAGATATATTGTTGTTACAATTGTCTTCAAATTACATTGACAAAAACAGATGGTTCTGATATCCTTAGAAAGGGTTCAGGCCAGGGGGTTTTTACCAATAATATTCCCCTTAGGATAATAGGAACAGAGAACATAGACACCTTTCTGATTGTTGCAGTACACAAATGTACTTGTTGGTTTTAGGACTTTTGGGAAGTTCACGGAGGTCCAACACAACCAGAAAGTTGGTGGATTCACCGGAAATAAAGTAAAGAAATAAGCGATTTGTATAAAAAATGTCAAAGATAGTGACAGATCAGTGTGTATATCTCTTGTGTATATTTTGTAGAATAGTTTGTACATGCTTGTATGGCTATTTTTGTAGGATAGAGATGGAGTCTTCTTCTTCTTGAGCGCAAGGACGGAGCCAAAATTCGGTTGAGGGGGAAAGAAGTACGGACGGATTCAGAAATTTTTTTCCAGTAAAGGCGAAACATTAAAACAAAAGAGATAATTAAAATAAATAAATAAATTACTTAAGGAATATAGTTGTAAATATTATTGGATATGGGCGAAAAATAAAATACATCAAAACTTTATAAAAATATTCAAACATAGGAATAAAAAAACTGTAAAATTATGTTTGATGCCAAAAGATTCAAACCCTTAACCTTTATTATTACCAAACACTAACTCATTTCTTATTGACATTTAATAGTTTGTTTATACTAATATTAAAACCTGTACTATATATGTGACCTATACTATATATACATATATACATACAAAAATTATATATGGGGGTGGGTGGGGGTGGGGTGAGGGGCAGCTACCCCTGCCCCTTTGGCTCTGTCCTTGCTTGAGTGAGTGATGCCTTCCTTGTAGGAAATGAGCCTTCTCGTGGTGATGGGGAAGAGTCCTCTATGTGTGGGGATGAATAATATGTGCCCCCCTTGCTCTTTGCTTTCCTGGTTTTATAGTAGAAAGAGTGCAACGGTATTCTGTGGATAAGAACTAAGGGGATTAATGATTATAATGGGGTAACGAATGAGTAATTACTAGGATTTAATAGGAAAATAAGGGGTAATAATGGGCTAGACGTTGGGTGGCTAAATATCAAGTTATAATGGGATAATTAAGGAGTGGTTAATAGGATATTTAGTAGGCAATGAAGGTGTAAAAGTGGGGTAGTAAAGGTAGTTTAATATAGTATTTACTTGGGGGTTATGGAGGGGTTTAGGTGGTCTAATCGTAGGTAGGCGGTCCATTCGGATTCTCATATTGATTATCCATGTCATCAGTACTGCAACCACACCCGACCCTCTCGGGCCTGCAAACGCAGACGTTTCTCCTGTGATCGAAATGCGTTTGCTCCTGGAACCACGACCGCACCACACCCCGTGGGGTGGACTCTTTGTAGAGCTGCCAGAAAATGTTTTTCCCATACTTGCCATGGTTGGAGTGGGTCCTATAGTTGCAGTCATTCTTGCGCCGGACCGCCCAATCCTGGGCGAACTTGGCGAGGGTGGAGTCCCATTGCGGGTGCGGGGATCCAACCTTTGCCCGGAGATTGTTGCGAGCCCGGAAAAACTCTTGTTGGATCCAATCATATCTAGGAACAAAAGCTGATAAGGGCTTCACATGCCTCCTATTGAGATGGCTTCTTGGGATCTTGTGGTGGATAAGGGCATCTGTAGAGGAGATGAATGTGATGATGAAGAGGAGGAAGAAGATGGAAAGGGTTATTCCTTGTGCCATTGTTACGTTGTTGCTCCGGATAAATGAATGAATATTGGGGATAGAATTGAAATTGGCTATCTAAAATGAGAGGAGCGTGGAAAGAGGACCCATGACTCATGAGTGTTCATTTGTATGGGATTTCATTTCATTTTCTTGTCCTTGATTGATTCACGGTTCATCATACAAATAACTTCACCTTTAACCACACATATCTATTCTACAAGGTCGGGACTTGGGGGTAAATATATACACGGATTAATAGTTAAAATTTCATAACCTTTTTTTGTATTAATTACACCATGTTTGGTTCAAGGAATAAGTCATGAATGAAAATGTTGTAATTCGGCATTCATTTAGTGTAATTGTACGCCAAGAACAATACAGAGACTCAAAGAGAGAAAAAAAAAAAAAAAAAAAAAAAAAAAAAGATAAAAGTAAAGTGAAGAGAAAACTGAAAATGTAGGAATTGTCTTTTCATTAATAATTGTTTGTATATATGTACACCAGATATATAATCGTACACAAACAACATAGAAGTAGGGGAAAGTGGGATAATGGTCACATATAAAATAAATATTTATAACACTCCCTCTTAGCCATTATCTCATCATACTCAAGTCTCGTTAAAAATCTAGCTAAAAAAAACTTAATCAAGAAAAAAGTACACGATTTGTGTGAAATTATGTGTTACGTCAGTTGTCTTATTAAAATAAAATTTAGAGAAAAATCTAGTGAAAAAAAACTAAGGGAAAAAAGAGACAATCATAAGCCTTCAGATCATAATTTTCACGATTTTCGAGGGTCTATTTATTCAAGTGTGGTTCGACGTTTTTGCTCCCCCAGAAGACAACAACCTTCAAAGTCTACGCATCCGAATTTTATGAATATATTTTTCAAAAATGGATGTACGCAAGAACTTAGTGAACAAATCTACCAAATTGTCACTAGAGCGAACTTTCTCAACAAGAATTTTACAACTCTTCTGGAGTTCATGTGGGTAAAAAAACTTAACATGGCGTTGGTTGGAAGGAGAGAATTAGGTGGGAAAGGAATTGTAATTCCGTGAGAAAAAAATAAAGTTGAATTTAAATTACATTGTTTGGTAGGAAGGAATAAAATAATTGAGAATTGATAGTGGA